CCTGTCAGAACTAGGCAAACTTCATGGGACTTTAGCTTGTCAGGGTACAAAAAAAATGTGTGTGGATGGGAATGACACAAACTGGGTCTGGCTGTTTTCCACAGGCTGCACATGGTGTCCTTATGAGACAGCATTTCTTACCTACTTCCCCTTTGCCCCTTGGATGTACATTACAATTGTGCTTGTAGCATGGCAATACTGGCAATGTCTGTGAGAAAAATGTTGAATAATAATCAATAATAATAATAATAATAGAAGTCCACTTGGAAAGGGGTGAGGAGCAAGGCGGAATAAAGTGCATTCAGAAATAGAACAAGGGAAGGAATAGACAACTAGCTCAAATACTAGCCATAAAGCAATGGAACCAGGCAATGCTGGAGGCAGAGATGGCACGGGTAAAGGATGATTTTAATAGTGACACTACACAACAGAAGTGAAAATCCTTTAAGGTTACCAAAATGAATGCCACTTGTTCCAGCTTGGAATAAAGCTTTGGAAGATCGTACTCAATAGTCCCTGGCTTGGGGGAAATATTACAACCCCCAATTGTATTTTCTTAGAAGATATCCTCTAATTTATTAAGTATATTTGCCCTCCATTTTGAAAATCTAACTGGTCCCACAGCCTGCAGAGAATCAAGTCTTTTGGCTTCTTTGTGCCTTTGGCATGGAGGTGCATGAATAGGCTTACCTAGGAGTTTTCTCGGGAGCACAGTTTGCATTTCTGCACCATTGTGGCGCTTCCCTGCCTCCTTTGAGAGGGTGGCTGTCCTAAAAAAATGTCAAAGGGAGGCATCAAGATCAAGGCATTCACAGTTTAGAGAAGAGACATCAGGAAACAAAGTTATTTTCCCCAGCAATAATGGCTAATCCTAATCCTGTAAAGTGTTGGCTAAGGCTGATGGAACTGTAGTCTAAAAACATCTGCAATTACCTGAGGAAAATGCCTAAAAAATAACCCATTGATGTTTGTTTTGTTTGAACTCCAGTCCACCTCTTGTACATATAACAAAGTGCATTTCCCTGTGTGTTGGAGGGGATGTTAAGCTTCCACATGGATGCAGTTAATTGCAAGAGATTTTTTTGAACATATAAGCTATGGGATATATAGAATGCTGTGCTAGTTGGTTTCCACAGCATCAGCTAGATTTCTATTTCCCCTCATCCCTCGTGTGCTCCAAAGATCTAACTCTGGAGCAGACTGAAGCGGAGGGGCAAGAAAGGAAAAGAAAGCTCTGTTGCACACATTGCAAATCTATTGCTATAGCGGAGCTGTAGTGTTACAAAACCATCTTATATAAACGGCTACAATTATACATTTTTTATATTTATGACCATCACACCTCCAAGGGCTCCTTCTAGATTCAGGCTGAATCTGTTTGTTCAGACTTGTTGATTTGCCACCGAGGAAGATTTATATATATAATCAGTTTCCAGAAGTAACTTTTATCATATTCCAGCATCATTTGAGTCAAATATAGATCTGTGTATGTCACACAGACAACAAACGGATAACTTAGCATGCTTGTTGTTAGTTCTGAGACCTACCATTAAGTCAGATATTGCCATTTTTCTGAAACCTCAGCACAGTTTCCACACTTCAACTGAAAAAGAAAAGAAAACCAGACGCAAACAATGAGGCACTTAGAGGAGTCAACAGCAAACAGGTAAACAAAAAATAATGATGAGTGTTAAGATTCAAAAACAAAGTATGCAATGGACACAAATCGCAGAAGTAGCACTCCCATGAAAAAGAAGACCACAACAACTTAAACACCACAACAATTTAAACCAACAACTTTCATTATGGTCGGAAATTAGCCCCAGATATAGCACAAAAGCAGTCTCACAGATTTGAGAGGCTTCCTAGAATGAATTATTAGAAGGGAAATGTGCTATGGTGGTGCACAAGCACCGAATTTTCCACCCTTACATTGCAGAAACGACATACAACTGCATTTGCTCGCAGCCTAAGTTGGTCCAAACCTGTTAGTGTTGCACTTTCCACTATAATCATGACTACAATATTTATATATCAGACACACAATCATAGGTATAATTATCCAGAAACAAGCTCCCATTGAGTTTCCAACGAGTAAGTGGCACAGGACCCATAGGTGTGGTGGGGCAGCCATGAGAGTGCATTGCTTGCATATTCATCTTGAAAGCATGCCAGTTGCCAACTGCATGGCAGAAATGCTAACAAAGAGCAATAAGATGGCAAAAAGAACCAGTGAGCATGAACATAGTACACAATGCCAATGGTGACAAATTGTAGGCGGAAAAAAATGTCTATAGCAGCAACTGTAAGTGTTGGGGCTCAAGCCAAGCTATGAAACAATATCCACTGCATTTACATAAAAATGAATCCTAATCCCAGAATGTATGGGATATTGGTTGTGGTTTAATGAGGAGAGAAAGGCACTCTGCAAAAAACTTACAATGCACCAAGAGCCAGCAAATCCCACTAACTGACGGCTTAGGTCGTGTAATAAACATTTCCTGCCACTTTTAACACTGCTAAACTTTAATGCGGTTTTAATGCTTCATCCTTCGGCCAGTAAACAACATCGACGTGCACGTTAATAGCAACAGAGGGAAATATTGTCATTGCAAACTAAGTGCATGGAGCGTTTGTGTGTCTGTGTATAGCGTGCACAGGTAACAGCCGTCGAAGGCCCTACCTTCAGATACCATCGGAAATCCTCCCCCACCGGCCTGAGATTTGTAATATTTTCCAGAGTGGCTTTGAGCTGCAGCCCGATCTTCTGCAAAGAGAAGTCACCGTGTCAGCTCATGTACTCGAGGCATTCCCAGCCCCAGCCCCAACTCACGTCGTCTTTGCACAGGTGAAGCTTTCTCTTACCCCCATGGCTTCAGGCGGCCAGAGGGAAAGCCTAGGAGGCGAGCGAGCCTGCTTTCCTTCCCAAACACTTGCAGGATCACACAGGAGCTGCGGGGGCTTTGCAGAGACCCAGCGTCTCTCAGAGGGCGGGGCCGCTGTGAATCAAGCCTCACGAGACTTGATACCTTGCCGTTTTCTTGCGCCTCCCGTGTTGCCCAGCCCTATTCGTCTGTAAGCGGCGCCGAAAGCTGGAACTTGCCCTTACTCAAGATGGCTGCCCCTCAGCTAAACTAGATCGTCGATCCATTAGCCAGCCCTATCCTGAGGAGGCGTCCAGGGAACAAGGATGAGGTGCTTGAGATTCAATACTGCGTGAGGTGGATTACATGCCAGCGATAGCCACCCAGAGTTTAAACAGGAAAATGCCTCTGGTTTTAAAAGCACTTGCCTACACACCACCCACCACTGAACCCAATGTGTTTTGACTATAGCGATTCTGGCTTTAGGCACTATCCTTGGACAGTAATCCCAGCATAAATTGAGTGTCGCCTGTAGTTACATTTGCAGCACTTTTTATTTTTTGTAAAACAACCTTCACCCTGCAGTCCATTTCCATGTAAGATTCAAGTCTTGTTTTTATTTTTGCATTTTTTGAGGTGGAGGGTGGATGTGCATTCTTATCAAAGAATAAAAAAACCTAGAAAATAGTCTGCAAATGAGCGAATACTTTTTGATGTTTTATAATCTACACAAACTTTAGCAGTGTTCCTGATAAATTATTGGTTTGCTTTACCCAAGTGGTTGCATAGCGCTACAACTCTTAGGCATACTTGCTTTCTCAATTAGGCTTTTTTTTTTACAGCAACATACTAACGATTCAGGATATTAGGATTTAGCCAGTTTATGATAAAAGATTTCCAGCTTAAAATACTGTAGACCTAGCTACCCTGCTCGTACAGAAAATCACACTCTCCTTTCCTAGCCCTTCAGATATAATAGTCTCTGAAAAAGTGCATTCCCCAGCTAGTGGTCCCATTGCAATGAGTACAATGTGGGCAGAAGTGTTGCAGACATGTTTTGCATGGTGTACAGTATCCCCCGAGGCCCACTTCCCTAACAATACTTGTGCCATTTTTGTTAGTTTCGAAAGGGAGAGGGTGCTTTTAAAACATAGGTAACACAGTCCAAGTGCACTTGCACCCAAGGCTGGTACAGCCGTTTTATTTTCAGTCTTCCTGCTAATGATTCCTATCACAGTATTCACCTTTTTCACAGCTGCTGTATGTACACTGGGTTGACATCTTTGAGATATCCACCTACAATTAACAAGGTCTTGTTCCTGGTCAGAAACCACCACTTCAGAGTCCATGGGCATATGTGCAAAATCATTTCTTTTGCCCAGTGTGTAACACTTGCTTACACTGAATTGCACTTGCCATTTAAACTGTCCATTTGCCAAATTGGAGAGATATCTTCTGGAGCTCTCTGCAACCCCTTATTTTTTTAACCACCTGATACAAAGCAATTTGGTTTCAGCAGCAAAACTTGACGACTTCACTGCTCATTGCTCCTGTTATGTATCAAGACAAGTTTCATATCTATTTTCCTTTGGGCACCTAAGAAACACCTTCTTCAAACAATCTTTTAGGGAGATTGTTACCAATCCTTGCAAATTTCTTCTTTTTTCACTTTTCAGGAACTCTGGAGAAGGGATTCTACTCTCAGCTGTAATGTTTCAAAAGCAAGTAGACACATTCATGCAATGTATGAAACAGCTCTTCCATGTATTAATAGTGTTGGCATCCGAGAATGAAGCCTGCAATACTGCACAGGAATATCAAATATCTAGTCCTCATTAAAACCTCACTAAAAAGGGATAGATTAACAGATACTTAAAAATGTCCATTGTTGTGTTGCCTGACCCTCGCTCTTCCCTTCCCAGCAGAAATTAAGCCAGCCATACTTTAAAAAAATCTTAATGCTTTCCCCAAAAGTCTTGATAACAAACACATTTTAAATAAAAAGGAAAAAAAGCTTTTAGCATTATTAAATTCACTCTGTAAAGAAATCTGACACACATAAAACCAATGAGAGATAAGGAATGGAAAGTGACCCCACCGAAAGAAACTTTACAGTACAAATTTAAATCATACAATTTAAATTGGCTTAATCTTGAAGTGTAATCCAATTGAGACTGAAGACGACACTTGAGGTCCTGGACAAGGGTAGTAAACCACTCTTAGACCTTCTGGATCCCTGAAGTGCAAAAAGGAAAAAACCAAACAGAAATAAAAATTTTTAAAATATTAATGTGACCAACTCATAATCATACTTTCTTTCAGGAACTCAGTATGAAAGAATCTCCTAGTCAGCTTATCAAAATCAAGCATCTTTGGTAGTACAGTGGTAACTAGTTGGCGAACTTAATCCTTCCTGGAAGTCTATTCTTAACCGCGAAACCATTCTTACACGCGAAGGTGTGCTTTCCCTAATGAGGCCGTCCCACCACCAATGCCCTTCCACCGTTCGGCTCTTCTGTTCTTAGACCAAGATAAGTTTGGCAAACAGGGACACTACTTCCAGTTGCAGAGTTCGTAAACTGAATATGTTCGTAAAGCAGAATGTTCTTAAACCACTGTAACTGCAAGATTTCTTTGCTGGCTTTTAGAAGCTGGGGGCATAAACCAGATGGCTTTAGTAGGGCGTTTATGAAAGGTTTTGTTTGTCCTCAGGGTAGAATGAGTTAAAATGAGTGAGCAAATAATGCAATGCCAAAGCTGAGACAAATTCTACATGCTGTTCTTCAGGTTTGCTAAATTATTATTACTTAAAATCAATGTAATAACTGTATTTCCAGCTTGGCCACAAATACATGGTACAGCATTTATAAAGGCATCTTAAGCAAGACAACCGGACAGAGCTGCACTGCTTCTGCCTCACCTTCTTCCCAATCCGCTAACAAAACTAGCTTAGTGAATAGTCTTCAAAAAGAGCACTACCACGGTTGTAGCGGCTGGTCAAAGAGCACTTACTTGGACTGATTTACATCAATAAGAGAACCAATTTTTGATGTGGTAAAAGAGATGTGTTCATCACCAATTACAATTTCAAGCTCCTGGAAAAATAAATAAATAAATAAATAAATAATTTCAGAGCACTGTTTGAAGATCAATAATAATATGACCATTTCACACCTACCAGACACACACACACACACACACACAGAGAGAGAGAGAGAGAGAGGAGAGAGAGAGAGAGAGAGAGAGAGAGAGAAAGAAAGAGGGGAGAGATATGGACGCCTCGTTCCCACCTCCAATAACTTTTTCCCAGATGTCTTTCAAGATCTACTCCAACAAGATATTCTGTTCACTAGAAACAGGTATAAGATTTCTACCCATCTGTTTACAGAAATAGCAGCTGCATGTGTAAACATTAACTTCTGTACACCTGTCAACTTAAAATATTTTATGGGAAGCCATGAATTTGCTAACCTGCCGGCCAACTCTGTCAGGAGGCGGCCATAATGCATCATCTTCTTGCGTGATTTCACTGTCATCGATTATCCTCTTTAACTCTTCCATCACACTTTTGTGTACGTAGGCCTAGAGCAGCATGGAAATAGTAGCATTTTAACTTTAAAATAAAGTCTAGTACAGAAATAAGTGTGTGTCGTTTGCTCACTAACTTCTTGTTGAAGCATGTGTATTAATTTATTTTGATCAACAACTAAGTACATGTTTTGCTATCCATTGGAATGAGCTCAGCATATATTGGGCAAAACATCTGCAAACGATTTTATAGAGTGAATACTAGATGTAACTTTTGGAGATACAGACATAGAATATTATGACATTTTTTGCAGTTTGCAGATTTTTACTATCCAAATACATACACTTAAGATGTGTGAAGATAAAAGCTAAATTCTATTAGCTACAACTAAATATTTGAGTCCAAGGTTTCAATAATACAGCTAAAAGGGGGAACATTAGATTATGTAAGTAAAAGACAGTAATAGGCAAATTTAATGGCTTGCATTGGATGCAGTTATATAAATCAATACATCCACTGGTCACTCTAAATCACAAAAATACAATTAAAATACACCTGCTTAATTTGTTTTATAACTAAATTAATAAAAATTAAATTAAATATGCATAATTAGATTTTAACACTTACGTTTTATCTTACATTATATTTTAAATTTGTGTTGTGAGGTACCCAGAGAACTCACACTGTAGAAACAAAAATTCTATAAATTAATTTAAACACAGTCAACTTACTCTTTTCTGATCATGACATCATTTTATAATTGCTGTTGTTTGCATATCTCAGCTTCCCTGTTGAAAGAGATAATATGACATTCAACAACTAACACTACACTACACAAAGCAGCAAAGCAATACAGAACTTGGGCTTAATTTAATTCACATTTTCCCCTATAAACTTGTGTCTGCAAAGTCTTGAAAGGGCTAAAGAAGGCAATGGGTTGAAAGTCAGGCCAGGGAGATAACTGTTGCCCAGTGACTTAAAACACCTGGTTTCTGCGCCCCTTTCTGTTTCAGCATCCACACATCCATACACCCTAGATACAACCAAGTTCTGCAGGCTCACAAAGGACCATTACTTGCAAGTAGAGTTTGCTCCCTGCAAAAGGGAAGTGTTCTGGACCACTATAAAGAGTGACTTGTTCCCTCTTCAGTCAACCAACAGGGAAAGGGGTGGGGGTGTACGATCAGGCTTTTCCAGTGCCTTCTCAGCAGAGAGGATGCTTTTCTCTCCAATTTCCTCTCCCTTGATCCTCTCACCATAAAACTCTCAAAAGGATCTTATTCTAGCACTCCTGCACCAGCAGGAAAAGACAGCTCTCAAAAACCCTCTGTCAAAAACTGTAACTTACTTTACCCCACTGAGGGTTTCATATAATAATAATAATAATAATAATAATAATAATAATAATAATAATAATAATAATTTATTATTTATGTCTCTCCCATCTGGCTGGGCTTCCCCAAGCCGCTCTGGGCAGCTTCCAACAAAATATTAAAATACAGTAATGCATCAAACATGAAAAGCTTCCCTAAACAGGGCTGCCTTCAGATGTCTTCTAAAAGTCTGGTAGTTGTTTTTCCTTTGACATCTGGTGGGAGGGCGTTCCACAGGGAGGGCGCCACTACCGAGAAGGCCCTTTGCCTGGTTCCCTGTAGCTTTGCTTCTCGCAGTGAGGGAACCACCAGAAGGCCTTCGGCGCTGGACCTCAATGTCTGGGCAGAACGAGGGAGGTGGAGACGCTCCTTCAGGTATACTGGACCGAGGCCAGCCTGCCACTAACCAACCCCTCTTGTTACTGAAATGCCGGGTCTCCCCAGGAGCCACCTTCCTCTCTTCGGCTAACTTTTCCCCGACCCCATTTCCTTTTCTCAACGAGCAATACCCCCTTCCCGCCTCCCTCCACGCCAACCACCCCCCGGGGGTCTCTTCTCCCTCCTCAGGCGACAGGCCCCTTCTTCCCTTCCGGGTGCAAGGGGCTCCCTCGCTCCTCCGTCCCGCCAGGCCTCGTATCCGGGGAGCTCCTCTCTCGCCTTCCCCAAGCGGAAACCCTGAGCCTCACCGTCAGGGCGGAACTCGAACTCGAGAAACTCGTGGCCGAACTTGCCCTTGTGCCCAACGTAATAACGCAGATAGAAGTCGCTCGCCATAGCCGCATATGCCCCACCGGCCCCGCCGAGACACCAGCATGCACCGCGCACGGGAAGCTCCGTGCAAGCAAGCGCGGGAAATGTGCGTCACCGAAGGGCAGGGTTGCGCAGGCGCACACGGAGGAATCAAGGCTTTGCTTGTCGCGGGCCTCACCGCGCGGTTTAAAGACCATAGAGATAGAAGAGTGATAGAGTCAAACGCCATCTCTGTCAATATCTATGTTCACTTCCGACTTCAAATGACCTGCTTTAACTTCCAATGCGAAGTGCAAAGGGCTTTCGCCATAGTGATGACGAGGGTCAAGTAGAGCGGAGCCGCTAGACCCAGGCCGATGTATAGACTTATGGCTAGATTCATGTAGGCTGCCTAGCTTCCGGGCTCTTTCCCCGCTTTTGCATGTTTATTGCAGGGCAAAATAGAGTATGGGATTTCTATATCTTTTGGGGATGAATTGTTATTAACAGCGATAAAAAGCAAATTATTATTATTATTATTATTATTATTATTATTATTATTATTATTATTATTATTATTATTTCAAAGCAGGATTTTAGCGTGCTGTATTTGTGAATTGCACCTCCGCCCCCTAATAAGTTATAGCAAAGGGGAGCCCCATTAAAAATAATGAATGGGGTTCTGCCGAGAAGAAATGTTTCTACTGATCGCTTTCCAGCCCCGTTAAACGTTGCGGTTAAACCAGAAGAGAGCGAGGGCAGAGCGTCCGCATTTATGAGCTGCCAACCTAGGCAGGGTCCTAACACGAGATGACTAGCAGTGATTCAGTTGGGGTTGGCCGGTTAGCCAAAATTTCATATTGGCAGTTGCCTGACAGGTTACAAATCCGCGAGAGGTGCGCTTTAAATTCTGGTGGTTATATTTGAAAAGAGCCTTCTGCCCCCCACATATGCTCAGACGTGCTCTCCCTTTTACACAGGATGGGAAGTCGTTTGGTATATGCTCAGGAGCAACCCTAAATTTATCCAGCGCCTCCTTGATGTAGCGATGGAGAAGGCTGTACGGTGTCTTGTTTCTGCAAAGTTGCTAAAGGCACTGAAGTCCTGAGACAGACAATGTGGCAACTATATTGTTCACTATTCAGCCAGGATATGTGAACTGTTTATGGTCTTTCAGGGTACAGGAACGCCAAAACTGGTGCCAGGAATTCAATTGACTTTAATTGGGTCACCAAGTAGGGATAACCTGGATTAAATTAGGATTTGCACTGAGCATTTGAATTTGTATTGAATCCACGGCATTTCAGTGAACAGCAAAACTATAAATCCCATTTGGTGTGTTTGTGGGACTGATGAAGGAATGTAGGTCCCATTTCATCTCTTGGGATTCTTCCAAGTGCATACTTGAAAGACAAAAGCACATTGTGCAATTCAGATACAGCACATTTGGAGGGTGGGGACGTAGAGAAGAGAGTTATATTGGTGTTACAGTCGCCCTGCCCCTAGCATATGTATACTTGAAAAAACAAACAAACCCAGTGCAGATGTGCGCAATAGGAAATCCACAACCAATTCTAAAAAATGACAGAAACAAGTTTTACTAAATATAGATGTCATTAGAAAACAAGAGTGTTTTCTAATTATTTTGAAGTTGGCTATGCCAATTGATGTTGTCTGTCTCTTTTTCTAGAAAAATAGCACTGGCATAAAGGGTTTTTTTTTTAAAAAAATAAAGTTTGTTTGACTTTAATGAGACTTACTCCTAAGTCAGGGGTCTGCAACCCACGGCTCCAGAGCCGCATGTGGCTCTTTTACACCTTTGCCGCGGCTCCGGGGCGGATACTAGTGAGGGGAGGAGGCGCATTGTGCGCCCCGACACTCCCCACTGTGGCGGGCGCTGTACTGGCTGTGATGTCGCATGGGGGCGGTGCGTGCGTTAGTCACGCACCGTCCCGACGTCACCTTCCCGCCTGCCCGCCCGCTACATTGTAAGGGGCATGTACGCTGGTCACTGTTTTGAAGGGGAGTGAAGAACACACACACACACAAATATAACTTGTTAATTTAACGTTTATTTCTATGAGAAGGAGTAATTCTGAGGGGTCAAACAAAGAAATAATAAAAAAAGGTGACAAAAAAGTTATTTTTATAATGACGAGTTTTGTGGCTCCCAGTTTTTTTTCCTTCAGAAACGGGTCCAAGTGGCTCTTTTTGTCTTAAAGGTTGCAGACCCCTGTCCTAAGTGAATATATGTTGAACTGTAGCTTTTCTTTGCAAGTAGCTAAAAGGTACATTTATTAAGAGAACTGACTAGTTTCATGAGAGGAAGACTCTGATGTTAAAGTCTACGAGTCAGAACAAGCTTGTAAATAACCACCTGTGACACGTAAAATATAAATCAAGGCAAATAATTTTTGTAAATGTGGAAGCGTTAGTCCTCCTGCTTGCTTCCAATTTAGGCCAATGACATCCTACAAATGCTTAGCCTAGGTTTGTGTTCATACTGAAATTAGCCATTTGTGCTAAACCCATGTGTAGGCTTGTGTGTGTAATCTGGCAAGTTGACTTAGGAGCAGTTTGATATTTTCTTCAGCGGTGGTGGGTGTCATTAAACAAAACAACACATTACAATCTGCCAATAAAAAAATTTAATCTCTATAGAAACAGTGCACTGTCTTACAAATGTATTCATTTGGTTTTCAGTACCCCCTACTGATGTAAGTACAGCAAATGTTATAAATAGCAGAGCCCTCCCACATCCCAAATCCCTAGACCTTTTGTTCAGAAAAACAGAAACACAAAAGGCACCAAGCAAGAACGCATCCTAATGGAACTTCCATATGACAAAGACAGAGGTCAGAAATGGTTACAATGTTAAACAAGATTATAACGCTCCCAATTAACACATGGAAAACAAATCATTTTTCTTTTTTTAAAAGAAAATT